TCACACCTATGTGTGGAGACCACAACGGATTTCAAATCCGACATCTTCACTATTTGGCCACGATTTCAGGTGCATTAATTAATTGAATTTCACCACCGGCCATGGAGGGATTTGATACCATGCCCTCAGAAGGTTAAACCTTTACTAGTACAGTGGCAACACCACTACACCACTTTATTTACCCAAATTATTTTAATCAAACAATCATGACGTATTAAAATATACCATTCCAGGTCAGGCAGGACCTTAAGCCAGATGTTCAGAAACAGGTAGGTACAATAACATTGTGCGAAAACTGATCAGCAGCACGCTCCCTTTTCTTTAAAAAAAAAATCATTCACAAGATGTGGAAGTCTCTCGTAAGGTCAGCATTTACTGGTCGTTCCCAACCGCCCCAAGGAGGATGTTGGGAAATACGTTCTGCATTCTGTGTCATAAAAGCAGCCTGACAGGGTAATTCTGCAGAATTTCAGAATTTTGACTGAACAGCGATGAAGGAATAAGGATGTATTTCGAAGCCAGAATAACGCATGACTTCAAGAGGAATTTGCTGTTGGTGCTACTTCCATACTACGTTTGTTCTTCTTGTAGAAACAGCTCAGAGCTTTGGAAGGTGCTGTTGAAGAAGTCTTGATGAGTTGTTGCAATGCATCTTGTAGATGGTACACATTGCCAATACCGTGAGCTGGTCGAAGTGAGATTTTAAGATAACAGATGTGGTATCAACAAGTCGATCCCCTTCAAATGGTGCTGAGCATCAATGCCCAGTGTTATTCTGTGTCCTTCTTCAAAAGTGGAGGACAGGTTGATCTACTGAGGTAGGGTGGCAGAGTCACAGTGGGTCTACGGAAAAAGATGTGCTAATTTCACATCCTACGATAGTTCTTGGTAGTTGACAGTCCCATTAGAAGATCATGCCACACATATATGGTCAAAACCAATCAAGTAAAGAATAGTTAAAGCAGCTGTGCACCAGACAAGTTTTTTTTTGTATTGTGGATTGGCAGGGTACCACTGGAAAACACAGTCAGACATCAATCCTTCCCGAGCTTCTCTGCCTTTCAAACACAAAGCATTAATTCTTGTTGATTTATTTGTCCTTGAGTAAATAACTTACTTTGCACTGCCCTTGAAAAATAATCTCAACTTTGTCATAGTACAATATCAATATTAAATCAGTCACAGTTTTATCAGAGAAGTTTATGATATCTAAATTCACACCAAGTTTGGTTTTTATTCATCTCTCAGTAGCACTACAACAGTGGTGACCGTCTTCAATTAATGTTTGTTGAAATCCTTATCCTTTATCATCCCTTCATTAGCTGACATTAATGGTTCCCTCTTCAGGCGCTGCTCTTCTTTCCACAAAAACTTCTGACCCCCATGCTCCGGTAAACTTGGTCTCATTGCCGATCTTCCTTTCCTCTCCAAAGTCTATGCAAGGGCTGTGGTCTCCCAAATTCAAACTTATCTCTCAGATTTCTTAATTCTTGACAGAGTCCCAAAATGGCAGACACAAGTATCTTACTAACAGAAAATGTGAAAGGTAAACCATTCATCAGATCCTTCGCAACCTGTCTGAAGCTGTTGACATAGTTGATTATAGTATTCTCTTCAAAGCCTCTTCACTGTCATTTAGCTGCATGAACATTATGAAATCACAGAAGGACATGGACCTGCAATCTTTTGCTGGCACCCTGATTAACAACAAAGTCAGATAACTCATCGATTAAGCCATGTAACTGCCTGCGCTTGTTTGGCTCAATTTCCATCCATTTAATCATAGACCGAGGATCATTTGCAATAGTTTTGCTTCTACACCATTTCCTCTGGTGCTTCCCAAAGATCTGGCCTTGGCATTCACTTTTTTCTCATTGACAAATTGTTGCTGAGGAACATCAGTCAAAAGCAGAACAATTGTTCTCACGTGTACACTAATGACATAGAGCTCTAACACAACAGCTCCTTTCTCAACTTCTCCAATGCTAAGTTATCAAAGTGCTTACCAACATCCAGCATTGGATAAACAGAAATTTCTTTGATTTAAGTATTGGGAAGATTGAAGCCGTTGTGCCATCAGTCCTGCTATGTCTATCCATAGCTAACAACTCCATTCTTCTCCCCAACAACTGTCTGAAACTAAACCAAACACTCACACACAAACTTCATAGCTGACGTCAAGGCGGGTTTCTGAACATATTGGCACCATCACTGAGACTGCCTACGTCTACTTGAATGTGCCCTTGCATCTTGCGCTGAAAGCCCTATGCATACTTTGTTATTTTCTGACTTGACTATTCCAATGTAATCCTTGTTTCCCTCCCACATGCTTGTTCATATCACCATGCACAAATCAAATAGAACAATCAAATAGATCAGTTATATTATTGAAGCCACAAACTGAAATCTCCTGTAATTTACTTTTGAAATTATGCAAAAAAATACATTGTTGTGGGAGATTGTGACCTAATGTTCAATGGTAATAATTGCTTTATTTTGTTCCTATACGAATACACCAATGCCATTCCGTGTACCATATATTCAAACGAATCTTTTTTAATTGCCCAGATGAAGAAATTTAGACATGATTAAATACATTCCGGGAAACAATTCGTATAACAAACCATCAATTTTATCTTACTTTAAACAGAACGACGATACGAACAGAACCCTAGCAACATTGTACGTGGTTATTAAAACTGCCAAAGACAAACGACCTTGACAAAATGCAAAATCGCAAATGTGAGTCTTCGAAAAAACTTCCGAGTCGAGGAATTAAAATATCTGCAGCTAACTGCCAGCTGTTTATTTAGATGCCTGCTAAACTAAACATCGAATTGACTGTGTTATGCGGTCAGCTGCGGTGAGGAATAATTAAAATAAAGAAACACATAGTAACACCTGACTTTTGTGTGTGTTTGGAGGAGGGAAGGGCCGGACCGGCCCCGCATAAACTTTACCTCAGTTTACCTCAGCCGGCCTCTAGCAACATCGGAGCCCAAGCGAATTTGGAAGAGGTGAGGCTTCACGTACACTGACCTGGTTATTGTCGCAGTGCTGGTGTTAGTAACAGCAGTTGCCAAGGGCCGGCCTTCGGCCCGTACCCGGGCTGCGGCCCTGCTCACACCAGCCTCTATGTTGATGAGGACTCTGGCCGCCATCTTGCTGTGGAGGTGACATACACCCCGGCGCCGAATGACGTGCGCATGCACTGCAGGCACCGCCCCCTCGCCTCCTCCCGGCCCTTAACAACAGCTACTTCAGCCCTTCGACATAGCCCCTTGTTCATCACTATGTAAAGCAAACATCTCAAGTGTCTTGCCATTAATGTAGCACACATTGTAAGTTGTTGATATTTGATCGCGGTGCTCTTACTTAAGATTTATGCCCCATTGCCAAAAGCAGCGACCGCCCTACCAATTATCTGTGTTCAAAATACAAAACAGATAAAAAGTCAGGTAGGTTTGGTTGCCATTGCTTTGAGCACCAGATTTTACTACAAGGCTACTAAGTCATTTATTTTTGTTCAAGGGTGGTAGTAATGTGGTAAGAACATAAGAACTGTGAGCAGGAGTAGGCAATTCAGCCCCTTGAGCCTGATCCACTATTTGATACAATGACACTAAAATGGGTGAAGTAAGCTGCAATGAAGAAATAAGAAATTTACAAATGGATATGGGTAGGTTAGGTGAACGGGTGAAAAATTTGCAGAAGTGTAATGTGGATAAGTGTGAGATTATCATTTTGGTTTGGAAGAATAGAAAAACAACCTATTATCAAAATGAAGGGAAACTGTAGAGTGCTTCAGTGCAGAAGGATCTGGGTATCCTGATTAAAGAATCGCAGACAAGTTGTATGCATATGATAAGGAAGGCAAATTGAATTTTGGCTTTTATTGCTAAAGGAATAGGGTATAAAAGTAGGGATGTGTTGCTGCAACTGTACAAGTCCGCACTGAAGTATTGTGTATAATTCTGGTTCCCTTATTTGAGGAGGGATGTAGTTGTATTGTAGGCAGATGAGTGGAAGTTCACCATATTGATTTCAGACATGAGCGATGTGTCTTATGAAGAGAAATTGAGTTGTTTAGTCCTATACTCTTTACAGTTTAGAGGAATGAAAAGGAATTGAATTGCTACAGGGAATTGACAAGGTACATGTAGAAAGGATATTTCCACATGTAGTCATGAGAATAAGAGGTCATAGTTTTAGAATAAAATGCTTGGTCAGATTCCCTGTGGAGTACTGTGTTCAGTTTGTACACTAACTCTGCTCCTGTTGCTCATGCTTATCTGTCTCTTACTACCGTCACCTCATTTACTCAGAGAGCTGGTGCAGACATGATGAGTCAAATGGACTCCTTCTTCACCACAATGATGTGATGTTTACTTTCCAAGGGTTAAAATTCCAGTGCCATTTTTGATGATTTTTTTATATCAATGTAATAGTTTTTTGTGATTTGTGTATATAACTCAAAATCTTTTTGCTCCTCCACCCTAGTCTTTCAACATTTAAAAATATTTCAATTTCTCAAGTCCAATACAGGTCACTTCACACTTCCCATGATGAACTGTATTGGCCACAGTTTTTTCTGTTATAACTTGTTGCACGCATTCATTCCAACGCATCATGAGCAGCTTCATTATGCATCCACTAGTTCATTATTAAATGTTAGAAATAACTGTTTTTTGGGAGTCCTGTATCAAGTTCTACACTAAATTGTTAAAATGACATAGCAAACTAAATGTTATTAGACAGTATATATTTTGACTGATTTTCAGAATTTAATGAAATATCAACCAGAACTTCGTTTACAAAGCAGCTTGATCATGGAATCCCTACAGTGTAGAAGTAGGCTATTTGGCCCATTGACTCTACACTGACCCTCCAAAGAGCATCCCGCCCAGACCCACCGCCCTATCTTATCCCTGTAACCCTGCAGTTGTACCTGATAATTGAATGTGAAAATATAAAATATAAATAAAATCAAAACTTGAATGTTGAGTATATGAAATCATTTAGGTTTATTTTACTAAGATTTCAGAAAATCCAATCACTTCCAAAGTGCAGGAAAACATGAATGCAAGATGAGAGAATCATCGTACACTTCTTTTGCATAAAAAATGTACTTTTTTTGTTTCTGAATAACATTTGCAATATGAATATTTATTAAATATACATCCAAATTTATAAATATTTAATTATGGTTCAACCTGCAGAGGTTTTATGTTCTGAATTATTCTGCACACCATTGATCTCTAAATTCTTCATATGATCACTGAGGGATCCCGTATCTAAATCAGAGTCTTTAACAGGTTCAATAATTCTGCTTCCACCACAGCGTTTCTGTGTGATTGGATCAATGATATTTCCAACTTTGAACACAATTTCTGCCAGTTCGTGTTTAACGTGCTTGGTCCTTCGTTCAGGCAAAGCCTTTAGAAGCACGATATCACCCACAGTGCACTGTTCTTTTGGATCATGAGCAAAATAAGTCTTCCTTTTATTGTAAAACTGTAGAAGAATGAACATTAAAAATGCAATTAAAACACACAGTACGCATTTGTTACTTTTCAAGAGTTTATCATAGAATCCTGACAGTGTGGAAGAAGGCTATTTGGCCCATCGTGTCCACACCAACCCTCCCTATCTCTGTCAACCTTCTTTTCCCAAGAGTAATCCACCCAGCCTGTGTGTCCCTGGACATTATGGACAATTTAGCATGGCCAATTCACCTACCTGGAGGTCAGAGCACCAGGAGGAAACCCATGCAGACACAGGGAGAAAATGCAAACTCCACACAGACTGTTGCTCAAGGGTGGAATTGAACCCAGGGTCCCTGGTGCTGTGAGGCAGCAGTGCTAACCACTGACCCACCATGCTGCCCTAAAGTTTAAAGTGTTCAGAACTCTAGATCTATCTGCTGGCTGGTGTGTTTATTAGCAAAGGTGCTGGACATTTTTTTTTTAAATTTCACAGGATATGGATGCCACTGGGCAGGGCTGACATTTACTGGTTTATCCCTGGTTTCTTCTTGAAGGGCCACTGATGAACCAGTTGGATTTTTATGGCTGTCTGAGAGCTTGAAATTCATGTTGTTACTGATATCAACTTTATTTTATTGCTATTGAATGATCCAAGATTTGCCAAATGTGAATTAGTGGATTGGAAACTCATAGCCTTTTATTCTGTAAAATTACAGATAGTTAGTAAAATCTTGATATCTACAAGATTGAACTTCACTTCAAACATGCATGTAGACAGCGACTATAAACACATACATAAAATTGAATTGAGACTATGCAAAACAATTTTTCTATAAGAAATATTTCTACAAATAAAAGTAAAATAAAATCTACTGTTTAGGAAAGTCAAAGTAATGACTGGATACAAAGCAAAAGTCAAATATTTAGTGATGTGAAGAGTGTGTAAAATATCTAAGTAATTTAAAATTCTGTTAAATCTTGGTAAGTACTGCCTTGAGTATTTAATATAATTCTCAATTTTTTAACTAAACAGTAAGTGAAAAAGTTCAGATTACAAACCAATAAATCTTGATATACAGATCTTAGAAATACTAACTATTGGCAATAATTAATTGGGAAAAATAATGCCTAAATCATAGCACAATTTTGTTAATAAAACTGAGTTCAAGATTATGAATCAACAAAAGAAAGGTTCAGAATGAATAGATTTTCCTTGGCTTTCTCTAATTTGCAAAACATTTTATACATCTCAAAACAATTCATTTTACCTTTAACAGATACGGATTCAGCACAAGTCTAGTTATTCTGACTTTGGCAGTCTTCTGCATTTTTGTCCCAATCACTTTTCCTATAATCCATTTGGCATGGACAGAGGCAGTTCTTGCTGACATTTTTGTATACTGCCTGCATTAAAGTGAATGAGATTTTGTAATATCACACAAAATAGCTCAAAAATATTTACTGAAACAACTTTTATTTACATAGTTTTCTTTACATTTCAAAAAACAGCAGATACGTTCTTCCAATATTTAGTTCCTTGATGCCTTATCTCACCGCCTTTTATAAGACCTTTCTCTCTGTAATTAGTTGTCAGTTTCCATATATTAAAACCCAACATGCATTATACTTCTAAGGAACTCTGTGGCAGAGAACGCATTGCTGCTGCTTCTAACTACTTCTGCTGGGAGATTGGCTGTTTTTGTTTGTCATACTCAAGGCAGAAGTCTTTTGCGCCATCACAGCTTTGCTGTGTCCACTCTGCGACATCTGTCATCCACACCTAGACTGATCCCACTTGGAGTTCTTTTAGCATTTGTAATTTCAAGTATTCTTTATTTGTCTTATTCTGTTTATGGAAGTTTTAACTATGTCTTAGTTATCACATTTAAAAGGCCTCTATCTTCCTCTTAGTTTTCAGTTTTCTAGGTATACAGGAAAATGAACAGCAGTTTATGGTTCTTTCCTTGTTACTAGGCTTGAGTATTTTTGTGTTATGAATACATCTTTCATATTTACAAAATTACTTTTGGATCACATCTGCCATCTTCTGTTTACTTTTGTCGTAAAAAATAAACTTATCTACTTATTCCAGTGTCACATTATTCATCCACTTCCATTTTCACTCCAATTTCTTGTAATGTGTTCCTTCTAACTACTATTGTTTGAGACTTTTTGGTGTAAATACTAAATCTATATTCTAAACTTATAGATTTTACTTGATCTATCACATTTTATGATTCTGCAAGTAGTGCCATGTTGTCAGTGTACTGCAAGTTTACATTCTTGCCTCCAACTTGTACTATTTGAAGCATGTCTAACTTATTGAATGTTTGTTCTCTGTGCAGAATAAATAATTTCAGCAACAGAACACCTCTCGCAATACTCCTCTCTACTTTACATATATCTTATCGTCCCTCTTCAAGATGATGTTCACTATAGCCTCTGGATAAATCTCACATTTTCATTGTCCATATCACATTTCAACAACACATCCATTAACCTTTGGGAATAAACACATTCATTTTTTTCTCATAGTTATGAAACATATTTAAGCAAGATTGGAGTGTGGCTGAGAAAAGATGCATTTTATCAAATCATTTTGTCTTACACTCATTAAAACATTCACAAGAAAACCAATGTAAAGGGGAACAACATTGTATAACTTTGTAAGAAGTATGCTAATTGGCTGACAAGTGGTTTCATTGATACAGACATTGTCATAGAGAAAGCACCAATTAGGTGATGATTGACAGTTAAATGGTTAAGCTTATGTAAATATAAACTTGGCACAATGACTCGGAGGAATGAACCAGAGAATAGTTGCTGTCTTAAGTTGAAATAATGTATGCACCATTCTGTCTGTCTGCCAAAAATAGAGACCAGATGTAGTTACCTGTACATGCATATGCTACACTGCAACCCCAAATGACAATCTTAAATTAGTTGTAAACATATTTCTTATCAAACTCAGGCTTATTTAGGAAATGCTGTCCAATCTCATATTTTATGCTGGACAGTGTTTGAGTTTTGCAAGTACAGGCTGATTGTATAGTCAGTTTCTCGCATGTTGCAAACAGCTGAAGGATTCGGGTTGATACGATCTGCCAATCTTCGGGACACATGGTCTACACTAATTTCTCCTTCAAACACATTAGTGTTTCTTTCTATCATAATTTCAGAAGTACTTGGAAGCAGGGCCTCGAAAGACCCCATATAAATGCATTATTTCATGATTAACTTTAGAATAAGTCTTATACCTTTCAATACCACCAACATTGGTTACATCTTCCTCATTCAGTGAAATTCTCATTTGCATCTACAGAGGAATTCAGAAGTTTTTAAGAACTTCGGACATTGCTGCACTCGGATAACACGAGAAGATAATAAGAGAATTTGACCAAATAATACACGGCAATAATTATTAGCTTGGGGTCTTAAAGCAAAATAGAAGAAATAAGTAAGACTTTTGTGTAATCCTTTCCTCTTGTCGATGTAGGTTACTACCTCCTAATCACGTAGAAGAAGCACCTTGATGCTCTATTAACATACCTGACCGGGTCCACTCCTACCGGATAGAGAATTTTGAAGAGACGGACACTTCCGCTGGCAGCGGCGCATGCGCAGTACCTCTGTCTGGGGTGTGCACATGCGAGCAATGTCCCCGCCCATGTTCCTGCTTGGGGGTCAGCTCGGCATTTGGAGCTAAAATGGGTTCGCAAGTCGGCTTTATGATCTGAACACGAAGATTGCACATACAGATCTAAATTCAATTCCACCCCAGTTCCCTTGATTTTACCTTTCTTTTCAAAAGTGTGGGTTATGGCTGTCTTTTGAGTGGTAACATTCTTGCTAGAGTCAGAAGGTTCTGGATTGCATGGAGTGCTACAGTGATGGAAGTGCCTTTTTGATGAAATGTTAAATTTGCTGCAAAAACAGAAATTGCTGGAAAATCTCAGCAGGTCTGGCAGCAGGTTTTATGTTAAGTTTGCACGATAGTAATCCAGTAGCATAATTCTAACAGCAGGGGAATTATCCCCAGTGTGCTGACCGACATTCACTGCATTCTCTATCAACATTAGAAAACAGATTATCTAACCATTCATATTGCTGTAATAAAACAAAAACAAAGATCTGAAACAAAAACAAATTGCCGGAGAAACGCAGGTCTGGCAGCATCTGTGAGAAGAAAGTTAACGTTTCGAGTCCAATGACTTCATCAGAACCGATTCATTTTGCTGTTTCTGGGTGTTTGCTGTGTGTAAATTCGCTTTTATTTTTACATTAGAACATCGTCTTTCAGTTCAAATTTATTTAATCGGGTTAAAGCGCTTGGGGACGTCTTTTTGTTCTTCCCCCGGACTATCACAGAAAACACCACGAATCTGTGCGGTATCTCAGCGAAGGCTGAAAATGCGTTCTATACATATTCAGCGAGAAGGTATTAATCACGTCAATGGTGTGAAAAGTGACTACCGCATCCTATAAGTGAATAAAAACAAAAGGAGTGAAGTTGTGTTGCCGAAGAAAATAGAGCATTGCTGCGGGAATAAAGGAAGGGAGTTGTAGGAGGAATAAGGAAGAAGGGGTGATGTAACGAAAACCAAGAGCTGGAGAAACTCAACAAGTCTGGCAATATCTGTGGAGAGAAAGCAGAGTCAAATGAGTAGCGTCATTGAAACGGTAAATCTGTCTTCTCTCCTCAGATGCTGCTAGACTTGCTGAGTTTCTGTTTGAGATTTCCAGCATCCCCAATTCTTTTATAGAGATAGTAAGAACTGCCGATGCTGGAGTCTGAGATAACAAGGTGTAGAGCTGGATGAACACAGCAGGCCAAGCAGCATCATAGGAGCAGAAAGGCTGACATTTCGGGCCTGGACCCTTCATCAGAAAAGGTGTGGAGCTGGAGGAACACAGCAGGCCAGGGAGCAGCACCCTTAGGGTCCCGAACCGAAACGTCAGCTTTGCTGTTCCTCCAGCTCCGCACTGTGTTATCCCAATTCTTTTATGTTAGGGAGAGCGGTGTCGCCTGGGCTGTTGGCCGGTCCTCCCACCGGGAGGGTGCGCTCCATTGCAGTTGGCCGCTGTCGCTGCGTGGAGCCGCGCTGCTGGGCAGGCGGAGGGCGGGACGGAGTGAGCCGATCCTGGGTGTCGCTGGTCGAGCTGAGTCGGTGATATTGTTCAGTGCCGGTGGCCGGGCCATGTAGGTGCCCCGAGAGTGGCCGCTGTTGGACAGTCCGGGCTGACCGTCAGCTTCATACGGCAGTGGCTGTAACTGCAGGCCCGGGGCTCGCTCTTTGTCGGTGAGTATCGGCAGTGAGCAGTGGCTGAATCCTGGATAGAGCCAAATCTAAAGAAAATGAACTTATTCAAATGAGATGATAATTTCCTGGGGAATATTGCGGTAACATTTTCAGTTATGGTTGGACAGAACAGGGTAACTATTGTTTAGGCCTTCAGAATTGTTTGATCCTGATATAGTATGTGCTGGATTGTGAAATCTGAATCATATCTTATTTTCTGAGGTCGGTATTTGTGGATATCTCTCCACTCGAGATAAATAATAACCAGAATGGTCAGTGATGCAAATTGGGAAATAACCTTAGTAATTTTAGCCATCTGGAACTATCTTTGAACTTATCACACTTTTTATGGTTTCTTACAACTTAGTGCGGAGCCTAAGTCTCACCGCACCAAACACACACACAGTAAATGATGCACAGATTGAAATAAATCTTCCTTTTTCTTCCATTTTATTCTCAAGTCTGTTTAAAGTAGCAGGCGCCTCTCAAAGCACCTACATGTGCTTTGAGAGGCCACTGTTGTGGGGGAAAAGAACTCCCAAGTCTTTAAGAAAAAGTATCAAACATTTCATAACTGCCAAAGGAGAGACATTGAGGAGATAGGCTAACAGACTGAGCTAGGCAATTGTCACCATAAATTATAGGAGCAGAAGTAGGCCATTTGGTCCATCAAGTCTCAACCATCATTCAATGAAATCATGGTTGATCTGATAATTCTAAATCTTGGTATCATATTTGTTCCTGAGAGAAGCTTTTGATTGCATATCTACAACGTCACTAAGATTGACTATTTTTAACCTTTATTCTGCCTCAGCTCATCTGTAAATCCCATTTCATGCCTTTGCTTTAGATTTGATTTAATCTAATGCACGGCTGCCCAATCTCCATGTTCCTCCCTTCCTATAGGTAATCCAAAACACTGCTGGCCATCTCCTTATTTGCACCAAGTCCTGGTCACCAATGATCACTGTGTTCACTGATATAGATTGACCTAATACCTTGATGATAAAACTCATGCTTGATTTTAAATCTAACAGCTCCAACTGTTTTGCCTCTCCTTATCTCTGTGATTTCTTTCGCCTCCACAAAATTTTCAGATAACTGCCCCCTCCTAATTATGGCCCCTTAATCAGTCCTGATTTAAACTGTTCTAATGTTCATGGCTGTGTGATCAGCTGCCAATTCTCTCAACATTAGAAGTCCTGTATCCTCCTGCCCTCCAACATAAAACATCTTCAACATTCTCTGCCCTCTCTCTCTTTGTTAAGATAATTCTTAAAAAGCTTGCTAAGACCTTATCTGGATTACTGGATACAGTTTTGGTTCCCTTATGCAAAAAAAGATATACTTCTTTGGTCATGTTTTGACGTCTTCTTGAATATTGCCATTTGAGATTTGGTGTCAGAGTTTTTTTTACAGTATAATGCTCCTGTGAAGTGCCTAAATAAGTTTTATTTAAAGTACTATATAGGTTGTTAATTTATCCATCCAGAAATTCTTTAAAACCTGTCTGCGAGTTAAACAAAGATGAGGAGCACGCCATTCAGTCAATCAAAAGCCTGCTCCATTGTTCAATTAGATCATGACCTCAGTATTCATATCCCTTGATGTCATTAGAATCCAGAAACCCATTGATTTCTGTCATGAAGGTTTTAATGATTAAGCATCCACAACACTCTGGACTAGAGAATTGCAAAGAATCACTACCGTCTATGTTAAGAAATTTTTACAACTCTTAATCTTAAATGGTCAACCCCTTATCTTGAGATTATGACCCCTGGTTTTAGACTCACCAGTCAAGAGAAGCATCTTATCTACATGTATCCTGTCAGAACTTGTAGAAATTCTATACATTTTGGTGAGATCACACACCTTTTATTCTTTAAAACCCTAGAGGATGCAGAACTAGTCTCCTTAGTCACTCATTGGAAAATTCTTCCATCCTAGGCATTAATCTGAGAAGTAGATCCCTCTTTGAATAAGCGAACCAAAACTGTACCCAGTAATCCAGACGAGGTCTTAGCAAGCTTTATACAGCTGCAGCAAGACATTTTTAGTCCAGTAATCAAGTCTCCTTGTGATGAAGCCATATATTATCAGCCTTCCAAATGGCTTGCTGAACCTGCACGGTAGCATTTAGTATCTCGTGAACAAGGATACCCAGCAATTTTCCCTCTAAGCTGTATGGCTGCGCATGCTGATTGCAGCATTGATTTCCGATTCTAGAAGTCACTGCTGTGCATGGAACTCAGAGGCCTGTGCAACAAGGAAGAAAATTAGCGGAAATACTGATACCTAGGTACAAACTTCCCAACCTCTCACCATTTGAGAAGTGTTCTGCCTTTATACATTCACATTATTTTCCACCTGTCATGTCCTAGCCTATTCAGTTGCAATTACAGTTCTTTCTTCCCTATCTCCGGGCTCTTTGCAAACTCTATCTGAAACTCCATTTCTTATCTTAACAATTTTTGAGTGAACTTTTTCCTGATACCTGTTCTAAATTTACCACTTACCACCTTGAACTAATGTCTCCTCATTAAAGTTATCCACTTAATTTGAAGTAATATTTTAAATTTAACTTTTCTGCTCCATTAATTAGCTTATGTACTTCGATAAAATCAATTCTCAGCATCTGCCATACTAGTTTCTCCAGCCACTCACTAAATATTCAGATCATGTGAGTTTTTTTTGTTGATTAAAAGAACGATAAGCATGCCACTGAAGTCTTACACTAGCTTCTGACTTACAAGTACTTTTACTTTCTTACATGGATAAACTCATACATATTGTTGTTTTTCACAGCAAGATGCATATTTCAACAATCCTTGAATTACTGCGTTATGACTTGACTGGGAATAGTGTGCTAATAATCATGCCTCACTGTACCACAATCATCACAAGATGTATAAAAACTCCAATGATTTGACTTATTATTGTCACATGTACAGAAAAACAGTGAAAAGTAATGTATTGCATACTAACCTGATAAATCATACCTTATGTAAGTACATCAGGGTAATAGACCAGAATGCAGAAATCAGTGTTAGAGCTACAGAGAAGATGCAGAGAAAGATCTACTCTAATATGAGAGGTCCATTTGTAGGCCTGGTAACAATGGGGAAGAAGTTGTTCATAAATCTGTCGGTACATGTTTTCAAACTTTTGTATCTTCTGCCCGATGGAAGAGGGTAGAAGAGAGTATAACTCGGGTAGGAGGAGTCTTTGATTATGTTGGCTGCTTTCCCA